ACTTAAGGTTTTATTTCATCCTTTTTTGCGCTCCTTTGCTACGGGTGGGGCCTCACCAGTGGTTGTGGTGACAATCCCTCTCCCCCCTTTGTTCGACTTCGTGGTATTTTGTGTGTATTTTAGGTCAGGGCCTGTGTCTATTAGCGGCGAAAGGGACGTGTGTGTGCAAACATTGAAGAACAACCCTGGCATGTGTCAGCAGGGGGCGGCGAGAGTTGGACGCGAACGTGCTAGGTGGCCTCAACATCGTCGTATATACCAAGAAAATTCCAAGGTTCTACTCACGAGAGTTGGTACCTCCCATTTTCCAGTTTCCCTTTGTTGTGTTAATTAATATGCTGCCATCTTAGTTCGTATTAGTTTATTCACCGTATTAGTGTGTCTGTTGTTGCAACTTATCTTCTTCTAGTTTGGTATGTTTCCTTGTGTGTGATAGTGATTCCCCTTATTTTGTCGTAGGTTTATTGGCTGTGGTCTGGGATGGTCGAGTGAGGTCATGTCCTCGGGGGAAACGGGGGGTGGGGCGGGAGGCAAGGGAGGTAAAGGGAACAAGGGTGTCTGTAGGTTGAGAATTGGGTCATGGAACGTAGGTACATTGACGGGTAAGTCTATAGACTTGGTGAAGATCCTCCAGAAGAGGAGAGTCAATATAGTGTGTGTCCAGGAGACAAGGAGGGTAGGGTCGAGGGCGAAGGACGCAGACAGGTATAAACTTTGGTACTCAAGAGTCCAGAAAGGTAAGAATGGAGTGGGCATCTTAGTGGATAGGGAACTTAGAGAGTCTGTGGTTGAGGTTAGACGAGTGAATGATAGATTGATGATTATTAAGTTGGTGGTTGGAGGGTGCACCCTAAACATCGTTAGCGCCTATGCGGCGCATGCGGGCCTAGATGAGGAGGTTAAACGGCACATCTGGGAGGGGTTAGATGAGATTGTGCGCCAGATTCTGCCTACTGAGAAGCTATTAATAGGAGGGGATTTCAATGGGCATATGGGGTCGACCACAGGTGATTATGGCGAGGTGCATGGAGGCTTCGATTTTGGCGAGAGGAACAGAGGAGATACATCGTTGTTGGACTTCGCTAAGACTTTTGGGTTGGTGATTGCAAACTCTAGCTTTCCAAAGAGGGAGGGGCACTTGGTTACTTTTCAAAATATGGTGGCAAAGACTCAGATTGACTATCTCCTCCTGAGGAGGTGTGACAGAGGGTTGTTGAAGGATTGTAAGGTGATTCCGGGTGAGATACTCGCGATGCAGCATAGGCTCTTGGTGATGGACGTTGGTATTATGTTAAAGAGGAGGAAAAGGTCTGCTCGAGGAAGACGAGAATCAGGTGGGGATCCTTAACTAAGGATAAAGCCCAAGAGTTGGATGGGCAATTATCGGCTATGAGAGCGTGGATGAGCAGTGGTGACGCGAGCACTATGTGGTCAGCGATAACAGACTGTATTAGGTAGGCTACGAGAGAGGTGTTAGGGGTCTCGACGGACGTTTCTGGTGGGCACAAAGGAGACTGGTGGTGGAATAAAGTGGGCCAAGGTAAAGTGGAAGCGAAGAAGGCAGCATACCTGAAGTTAGTGGGGAGCATAAGAGAGGAGGAGAGGCGAGCGTGCACAGAGAGGTATAAGGTAGCTAGGAAGGGGGCTAAGATGGCGGCCACTGAGGTTGAGACTGCGGCTTGTGGTCGTATGTACGAGGAACTGGGAAAAAAAGGCAGAGAGAGAAAGACTCGGGATTTGGACCAAGTGAGATGCATCAAGGACGAAGATGGTAGAGTATTGATGGAAGATGCCCAGATTAAGAGGATATGGCAGACTTACTTTCATAACCTTCTGAATGAAGAAGGGGATCGGGATATTGTGCTAGGCGAATTGGAGCATTCCGAGAGTCACCATGACTTTGGGTAATGCAGGCGTATCGAGGTCGAGGAGGTAGTGAGAGATATGCGTAAGATGAGCAGGCAGAGTGACCGGGCTAGACGAGATTCCGGTGGAATTTTGGAAGTGTGTGGGGAGAGCAGGTTTGGAGTGGTTGACTAGGTTTTTTAATGTTATTTTTAAGTCGAAGAGAATGCAGATGAGTGGAGGTGGAGTATAGTGGTTCCATTGTATAAGAACAAAGGTGATATCCATAATTGTAACAATTATAGCGGTATCAAATTACTGAGTCATACCATGAAAGTGTGGGAGCGGGTGGTTGAAGCGAGGATGAGGATGACCGTGTCTGTATCTGACAACCAGTTCGGGTTCATGCCGAGTCGTTCGACTACAGAAGCTATCCACCTTGTTAGGAGGTTGGTGAAACTGTACAGAGAGAAGAAGAAGGATCTGCACATGGTGTTTATTGACCTAGAGAAAGCGTATGACAAGGTACCTAGAGAAGTTCTCTGGAGATGCCTGGAGGCAAAAGCTGTGTCGGTTCCCTACATTATGGTGATTAAGGACATGTATGATGGGGCTAAGACTCGAGTTAGAATAGTAGAAAATGACTTTGAGCATTTTCTGATTGTAATGAGGTTACACCAAGGTTCTGTGCTCAGTCTGTTCTTATTCGCCCTAGTGATGAAGGCGTTGACACATCATATTCAAAGGGAGGTGCCATGGTGTATGCTATTCGCCGATGACATAGTTCTGATTGATGAGTCGCGAGCCGGTGTTAACGAGAGACTGGAGGTTTGGAGACATGCTTTTGAGTCTAAGTGTTTCAAGCTGAGCAGGATGAAGACGGAATACCTGGAGTGTAAGTTCAGCGCTGAGCCGGTGGAAGTGGGCGTGGATGTGAGGCTTGAATCACAGGTCATGTGATGACCCAAAATGTCATCTTTAAGTTTAATAAATAATTCTATCTTCTAAGACCTCGAAAATCACTAATTATCATTCCTCGACTTGCGTGCGCCGTCCGTACAATTTTTCGGAAAGTTTTTATGTAAAAAATAGATTAAAATGTGAAATAGAGCTTTAAAACTCAACTGAGTTGACTTTGGTCAATATTTTGAGCAAACAGACTCAGATCAGTATTTTTGACAGTTCCGGTAGGTTCGTATCGTGATTTGGGACTTGGGCGTATGCCCAGAATCGAATTCCGAGGTCCCTAGCCCGATATATTAAATTTTGATGAAAAATTAAAAGCTTGAAAGCTTAAAGATTTTTAAGAAGTTACTGATGTTGGATTTATTGACATCGGGTCCGTATTTTGGTTCCGGATCCCGGTATAGATCCACTATAATATTTATGACTTGTTTGCCAAATTTGGTGAGAATCGGAGTTGATTTGACGAGATTCGGACATCCGGTTGTAAAAATATAAATTTTAAAGTTTTCTTGAAAATTGCCTTTGATTTGGCATCCGATTTGTAGTTCTAGGTGTTATTTTGGCGATTTAATCGAGCGACCAAGTTCGTATGATATTTTAGGACTTGTGTGCATGTTTAGTTTGGAGCCCCGAGGGCTCGGGTGAGTTTCAGATAAGATACGGGATGATTTTGAACTTAGAAAAATATGGTTTTCTGCAACTTCAAGCTTTTGGTATTTCCTTCATCGTGTTCGCGAATGTACTCTCCCGAATGCGAAGAGCAAACTGGGCTGGCTGAATTTTCCTTAACGCGAAGATTGGGTCGCAAACCCGAAGCTATGGGGACTTTACCCTTCACGAACGCGACCAGCTCAACACGAACGCTAAGCTTTAGAGGCCTGGGGGAGGGGTCAGTTGTCCTTCTACTTGTGCGCGAGCACTGGCACGCGAACGTGAAGGCCAGGGGAAAAAAAGCCTTCGCGAACGCAAAGGAGGACTTGCGAACTTGAAAGCCACGGGCTGCTACTCATCGCAAACGCGACAAGCCCTTCGCGAACGCTAAGAAGGCCTAACGCCTGTGACTTAAAACAGAACCAAAATGGGATTTTCCCCATTTTTCACAAACCCTCAATTAGAACTCGGTTTAGGGGCGATTTCAAAGGAGTTTTTCACGATTTTGAATTGGGTAAGTATTTTTTTATCATATAGTGATTGTATTTCATAAATCTAAGTCTATATTTATTATTTATTTCAGATTTAGATGGAAGAAATTGATATTTTTATAAAATCTTCCAAAAATAAAAATTTAAGATTTGAAGGTCCATTTGACATTGGAATTGGATAAATTTTGTATATTTGACCTCATATCGGAACGGGTGTTCGTATTTCGTAAGTTTTTTCAAGATTTGAGACATGGGTCCTACTGTCGAATATTTAAATGAATTTCAGATTTTAATCCGGAAAATTAGTAAATTCATATGGAATTAATTCCTATGATTCGTATTGAGTATATCGAATTGTTTGTGAATAGATTTGAAGCTTTTGGAGACAAATTTAAAAGGAAAAGCTGTGGTTGAGTAATTGATTGGAATTTGCAAAGCGAGGTAAGTGTCGTGGTTAACCTTGACTTGAGGGAATAGAACCCTTAAACTATTTGCTATGTGAAATGCATGTGAACGACGTATAGGCGAGGTGACGTGTGTCTATACGTCGTCAAATTAATTGTTTGCATAATTACTTGAAAAATCATAAATCATTTTAAATCATGAATTAATTATTATAATAATTGTTTCTCTCCTATTCTTTGTTAAATATTAATTCTTGAATTCCTGCATTAATTGTTACATGCTATTTGAATTATGTATTTTAATTGTTATTTGACATTTAACATATTAAATATTAAACTGCCTATTTTCTCTATGATTTTCATAATAATTTGCTATTTGTCATTGTTTGTTTCATAATTAAATCATAATTATTGTATGCGTGTTGTCTTATAATTTTATATTAATTGTTGCATTTATTGAAAAAATTTATTCTATAAGAATTGGTAAATGGATATATTGGAGGATCGGGTTGCACATCGTAATAGAATTGATTGAAATGGATATATTGGAGGATCGGGTTGTACGCCGCAACATACTTATTAAAAAGTCCATATTGGAGGATCGGGTTGCACGCCGCAATAGACTTATTAAAAGTCATTATTTGGGGGATCGGATTGCACGCCGCAATAGACTTATTTAAAAGTCAATATATATATACTTGATTAAATAATTATATGAGAGGATTGAAAATGAATATATTGTGAGAGCGGGTTGCACGTTGCAATAGAATTGAATGTGAATATATTGTGAGAGCGGGTTGCACGCTGCATTAGGATTGAATGTGAATATATTGTGATAGCGGGTTGTACGCTGCAACGGAAATTGATGGAAATGATAATTGGTTATGACTGCTGATTTGGCTTCAATTATTATAAATGAGTTACCTGATTTATTTTTATTATTTGTTGTTGTTACTAATATTGCGTACAGGTTAATGTAAGTGACCCGCCTTAGCCTTGTCATTACTTCGTCGAGGTTTGGCTCAGCACTTACCAGTACATGGGGTCGGTTGTACTGATACTATACTCTGCACTTCTTGTGCAGATTTTGGAGTTGGTCCCAACGGCATACCATAGACTTGCTCGGATTTCAGCTACTCGGAGGAGACTTGAGGTATAACTCCACAATGTCCGCAGTTCTGAAATTCCGTCTATTTTATTTTAGTTGTGTGTTTGTTACCAGACAACTTTATTTTATTCAAACCTTTATTTGTATTTATTCTAGAAGCTCGTGCACTTGTGACACCAATTCTGGGATGTTATTTAGACACCGTTATTTTTATGGATTATTCACTATATTTCAGAATTTACTTCCGCAATTGTTCTTAGTTATTAATAAATTTAAAAATTATTTTTAAAATTGATAATAATTCTAATATTGGATTTCCTAGCAAGTGAAATGTTAGGCGTCATCACGGTCCGAAGGTGGAAATTTCGGGTTGTGACAGGTCTTCCCGAGCACTAGGTTACATAGGTCTCACGAGTCACGAGCAAGCTTAGTAGAGTCTGAGGATCGGTACGTAGACGTTTGTATTTATCTCTCAGAGGTTATGAAGTTTAGGAACATCACTTTTTTCTTATTCTGTTGTGCGATTTTATTCTATCATCGATGATTGAACCATTCTACTCTTATTCTCCCGCAGATGGTGAGAACACGTAATGCCTCTACCGATGGACAGGGACCAGAGCCCCCGGTGGCAACTATGGCCAGGGGTAGAGGTCGAGGTCGAGATCGTGCTAGAGGCCGAGGCAGAGGCCGAGGTAGAGCTCAGTCCAGAGCTCGAGCAGCTGCACCTGCTAAAGAACCTCACGTGAACCTTCAGGAGGAGGTTCCAGTTCAGAATGTACCAGTTGGACCAGTTCAGGTCCCGGTAGGATTCATAGCCACTCCAGTACTTCAGGACGCTCTAGTCCGTTTGGTAAGTCTTATGGAGGGCGTGGCCCACAATGGT